CTGCCTCCCAGGGAATCGGTGCGGGTCCCTCCTGCCTCCCAGGGAATCGGCGTGGGTCCCTCATGGCTCCCACGGAAGCGGTTCGGCTTCCTCCAGGCCCCTGTGAGCGCTGGCGGCTCACTACCGCCTCCCGTGGAAGCAGTGCGGTTCCGGCCGGCTCCCGCGGAAGCGGCGGGTGGGCTACTAGTATGCATATAAGTTCTTTGGTTAATCTCTCCCCCCACCCTTCCTTGCCTCTGATTCTGTTTTATTCATCAGTTTATTTTGTTCATTTGATTCCTTGTTCGTTTATTTTATAGATTTTTAGATTTATTTGTTGATAGATACATATTTATTGCCATTTTATTCATATTTTTTATCTTTTTCTTCTTCCTTTTCTTCCTCTTAAAGAAGACCCTTCAACATTTCATGTAATACTAGTTTGGTGGTGATGAACTTCTTTAACTTTTCCTTGTCCGGGAAGCTCTGTAACTGACCTTCAATTCTAAATGATAGCTTTACTGGGTAGAGTAATACTGGTTGTAGGTTCTTGCTTTTCATCACTTTGAATATTTCTTGCCACTCCTTTCTGGCCTGCAAAGTTTCTGACAGCCGTATGGGTACTCCCTTATAGGTAACTAACTGCTTTTTCTCGTGCTGCTTTTAAGATTCTCTCTTGGTCTTTAACCGTTGGCATTTTAAATATGATGTGTCTTGGTGTGGGCCTCTGTGTGTTCCTCTTGTTTGGGACTCTGTGTTTCCTGGACTTGTAAGTGTATTTCTCTCTCCAGGTAGGGGAAGAAAATTTCTTTTCCTTTTTTAAACATATTTTTATTGATTTCAGAGAGGAAGGGAGAGGGAGAGAAAGATAGAAACATAAATGATGAGAGAGAATCATTGATCTGCTGCCTCCTGCATGCCCCCCACTGGGGATTGAGCCTGCAACCCAGCCATATACCCTTGACTGGAATCGAACCCGGGACCCTTCTGTCTGCTTGCCAATGCTCTATAAACTGAGCAAAACCGGCCAGGGCTATCATTATTTCTTCAAATAGGTTTCAATATCTTGCTCTCTCTCTTCTTCTGGCACCCCCATAATGCTAATGTTGGTATGCTTGAAATTGTCCCAGAGGCTCCTTACACTATCCTCATATTTTTATATTCTTTTTTCTTTTTGCTCTTCTGATTGGGTGTTTTTTGCTTCCTCATATTCCAAATCATTGATTTGATTCCAGGAATCCTCTACTCTACTGTTGAATCCCTGTAAATTATTCTTTCAGTTAGTGTATGCTTAATTTCTGACTGGTCCTTTTTCATGTCTTTGACATTCTCACTGAGATCCTTGAAAGTCTCACTAAGTCCCTTGACGCTCTCATGAAGATCCTTGGGTAGCCTGCTCGAAGCTCCTGTTCAGTAACTGGGACAACATTTACAGAACACCTGCCGTGGCTGTTCATCTCCTGGTGTTCTGGGCAGGGGAGGCACCAGAGGTATAAGAGCAGCTAGCTGGTTGCTTGTGATTCCCCGAGAGGAGTGCCTTGAATTATAAGGTTGCTAAGTTTACTTCTTAGGGCATCTTTATCCGCGTTTTTAATTTCCCTTTGGTGATTAGCAGGAAGATATTAGAACCTGACAATGTATAGGTTAAAAAATATCCAATGATACTTACCTGGCAGGAGAGATACCATGATCATGAAGGTGGTTTTCCCAGGGCGAGGCTTATCCATTGCACTCCGGATGTGCGGACTCTTGCTGTCCAATGAAAAGATGCCTGTATTACTCATCATCAGAGAATCAGAGAAATGCAAATTAAAACCACAGTGAGGTGTCAACTCATACCTGTCAGAATGGCTGTCATCGAGTCAACAAATAACAAATGTTGGCAAGGATGCGGAAAAATGGAACCCTGTTAGTGAGCACACAGACTGGTGCAGTCACTGTGGAAATAGTATGGAGTTATCTCAGAAAATTAAAAATGGAACTTCTTTATGATCCAGCAGTTCCACTTCTGAAAATATATCAGAAGAAACCTGAAACACTGATTTGAAAGAATATATGCACCCCTATACTTTTTGCAGCACTGTTTACAGTTGCCAAGATTTGAAAGCAACCTAAGTGCCGATCAATAGATGATTGGATTAAGAACCTGTGGTGCATGTATGAAATGGAATACTACTTGGGTATAAAAAAAGGGGGGGGGGGAATAAGGAAATACTACCATCTGTGACAGCATGGATGGACCTGGAGAGTATTATGCTCAGTGAAATAAATCAGTCAGGGGAAGAAAATACCATGTGATTTCACTTACATGTGGAATCTAATGAACAAAATAAACAAAATAGAAACAGACTCATAGATACAGAAATGTGTAGATGGCAGCTGTCAGAGGGAAGGGGGTTGGACGACTGGTGAAAATAGTGAAGGGATTAAGCAAGAAAAAAAAACCCCATACCTCATAGATGGAGACAATAGTTATGGTGATTACCAGAGGGAGAAGGGGTGTAGGGAGGGGTAGGAGAGGGGGAATAAATGATGATGGACAGAGACTTGACTTGAGGTGGTAAGCACAATACAATATACAGATAATGTATTATAGAATTGTCCACCTGAAACTGTAATTTATGAACCACTGTAACATCAACAAACAATATTAAAAAAAAAACAACCTAGATGTACTTGCTTCACCAACTCTTTGAGTACTGGTACTTATTAAATTGGGACTGTAGAAAGATGGCATTTGTTCATTCACATCACATTCTCATACTTGACGACTAAGTCATTGTATTTAAAAGATACTTAATAGAATTAGGTAAGTGAAAAATAGGGAGAGCTTATAGAAACACACTGGATGGTGTATCAATAAGGAATTCCACTTGATGGTAAACAACAGGGTCCTGACTGTAGTGTAGTTGAACACTAAAGGTTTTGTTTTCTTGCATGAAGAGAAGTCAAGGTAAATAGTTGTTGCCTTCGTTTCTGTGGCTCAAGGACATTTTCTGCAGTTCTTCTGGCCTTTCCTTCATGGTTCCAGGCTAGCTGCTGAAACTTCAGTAAGCCTACCCACATTCCAGGTAGGAGGAAGAATAGATAAAAGACTTCCGCCAAGGAAGACACATTGACTACTCATGGCTGCAAAGAAGTCTGGGATATGTCATAATTTAACTGGGCACATCATACCTTCCATAATATTTGAGTTCTGATAGTAAGAAACAGTAGGTAAATGGATATTGGGAAAGCAACTAACATCTCTTCTGATGAGATTTTCTTTTGATTTAAATAGGAAATACTCTTAATGGTTTAAAAAGTTCTAACATGAAGCTAGACCAGGGGTGGGCAAACTTTTTGACTCGAGGGCCACAATGGGTTCTTAAACTGGACCGGAGGGCCGGAACAAAAGCATGGATGGAGTGTTTGTGTGAACTAATATAAATTCAAAGTAAACATCATTACATAAAAGGGTACGGTCTTTTTTTTTTTTTAGTTTTATTCATTTCAAACGGGCGGGATCCGGCCCGCGGGCCGTAGTTTGCCCACGGCTGAGCTAGACGATAGTCTTTGTTTTGCTTAGATAACTATACAATCTCTTACATCTGTAATGTTATAATTGGGGAAAAGTGGGAGATTTTTGTGTATTTTTTAGAATTATAGAAGGGCAAAGAATGAAGTAAGTCATCTATCTTAAGGTCCTATATTATGTTGTAAATTGAATTGAAAGTCATCTAAGGACATACTATTTCTGAATTTATGAAAATCAATGAAAGAGGCTATTAAGAAATCAAATTCTAACATTTAAAATGGACTTCAGATCAGTTCTATGCTTTGAGAATTGCACAGTGTATTTTTAGTCTTCATAAAAGTCAGAGTTCCTTGGGAATGCTTACTGCATTCATAACTTTTGTAAACATTCCAGTCATCTTTGATCTTGAACTTCCTGTTCATTTCCCAACATATTTTCCTAGAATTATATTTTTCTCTCATATAGTAATGAATAGCAGAATGTGAGCAGATGAAACTAAGTTTTGCCAACCTAATTTTCTTATTGTAGAGGAATGTTTTTCCAGTTCTTGTTATAAATCTTAGTATTAAATATGCATATGAATGCCAGGAGAGTTCTTTAAATGACAAATGAAATTTTTTGCTTTATATATTTTTATAAGATCATCATTTCTTATTTACATGCAGAACTGATCATTTTGCTTCTTCTAGAATTTTTCTCTAAATATTACCAATGGGTCTTACTTGGATTTCTTTCTTTTTTAATAACTTATGGTTACAGACAGTGTCCGCCTACTGTGTCACCTCACAGTGAAACAGCACCAATTCCAGTTCCTACTCAGATAAGGAATTATCAGCGCATGGAGCAGAATCTTACATCTACTGCCAGCTCTGGCACAAATCCACATGGTTCTCCAAGGTAAGCTAGTATTCTTAATCTTTTTTTGTTAATTTTCACCCAAGGATATTTTTCCATTGATCTTTTAGAGAGAGTGGAAGAGAGAAGGAAAGACAGAGAAACATCGATGTGAGAGAAACACATCAAGTTGGTTGCCTCTTGCACGCACCTGGGCTGGGAAGGAGCCTGCCAACCAAGGTACATGCCCTTGACTGGAATTGAACCTGGGACCCTTTTGTCCACAGGCTTTTCTTTTAAACATATTGGGGGTTCCATACAAGACAGCAGCATAGGTAAATGTGGTACTCATAACCTCATCAAAATTACTACTAAACTACAGAACAACCGTACTTTAGAACCACCTGAAATCAAGCTGTACAGAAGTCCTATAACTAAGGATATAAAGAAGAAACCACATCGAGACTAGTAGGAGGGGCAGAGACATGGAATGTCTGGTCCCATAACATGTGTGGCAGGTAAAAATCAGGAGTGATATCTTGGCTGTTCAGGGGTCCCAGCCTCCACACCAGGCCTCATAGCCAAGGGTTCCAATGCCAGGAAGAAGAGTGCCCATAACTTCTGGCTATAAAAACTAAGGGGATTGTGGCTGAATGAGACAAAGGCAGCTGGAGTTCTAGGCAGTTCATCTTAAGGAGCCTGTGCACAGACTTACTCAGATGCACTTGCTCTAAGCTCCAGTGCTGGGGAAGAAGGTTAAAGGCAGCAGGGACATACGGGGAGGAACTGAGTTGACTGGCATCAGAGTGAGAGCTGGAGGGGCAGCTCCCAGACAAAAGTGATGGCAAAGGCCATTGTTTCTTTTCTGAGCCCTTCCCACACAGAGCTGGCAAGTGGATGCATATCTAAGTCTCCATCAACCTGGCTCATACTGTTTGCCCCACCCTGGTGATTCCCCGAGACTTGCCTTACCTAACTAGTGGGCACACCCAAGCCATTTTCAGTGGCTTTTCTATACAAATGGTATCTCTTGCCTCATGCTTTGGACTTTCCTAAAATCTCTCAAACAAGCAGCATCTGGACTCTGCATACCTCATACCTCTCACTAAGTGGCCCCAGGCCCGGCACTAATGGCAGCTGGTCTTGGTGTGCAGCTTGGCCTCTCCTGGGCACCTCCAAGCCTAGCACAAGTGGTAGCCATCTGCAGATTGCTTTGTAGCTTGTGCCATACTGTCCCAGGCTAACCTTGTACCTCTCAGGAGGCCCCAGAGCCAGTGCACTCAATGGACAGTTTCAGACCATGCCAGATTATGACCCTACCACCTCCACAAGCAACACACCCAAGAGGCAGACTTGAGAAGCACCCAAGACCCACTGAAGCAAGTCCTGTTCTGTAGGGTTGGCCCCTGTACAGCATCTCTTTCACTGTAGTCACAGCCAGTCCTCGCAGCTGATCAGCCTGAGGGTCAATTCCTTCCAGTGACGCCAACAGCAATCAAGGCTCAACAACAACAGGACAGTGCACACAGCCCACACAGAAGTATACCTGCAGTGCTCAGCTTGAGTCACTGGGGAGGCTGTACACGGGGCCCTGCAGGACACCTACTACACAAGGCCACTCTACCAAGTCCAGCAGACATAACAACTCTACTTAATACATGGGAACAAACTAGGGAAGCCGCCAAAATGCAGAGACAAAGAAACAAGTACCAAATGAAAGAACAGGAGGAATCTCCAGAAAAAAAAATAATGAAATGGAGGCAAGCAGACTACCAGATACAGTGTTCAAAGCAATGGTTATAAGGATGCTCAAGGAACTTAGTGAGAACTTCACAGCATAAAAAAGGACATGGAAACCATAAAAAAGCACCAATTAAAAATGACAGATACACTAACTGAAATGAAGAATAAATTACAGGAATCAGTAGTAGATTCAAATCAGCAATTTGGAATACAGGGAAGCAAAAAATACACAATTAGAACAGCAAAAAGAATTTTTAAAAAGGATAGTGTAAGGAGCCCCTGGGGCAACTTTAAGCATAAAAACATTCACATCATTGGGTGCCAGAAGGAGAAGAGTAAAAACAAGAAATTGAAAACCTGTTTGAAAAAATGACGGAAAACTTCCCTAACCTGGTGAAGGAAATAAACATACAAGTCCTGGAAGCACAGAGTCCCAAACAAGGTGAACCTAAGGAGGCCCACACCAAGACACATCCTAATTAAAGTGGCAGAGGTTAAAGACAGAAAGAGAATCTTAAAAGAAGCAAGAGAAAAGCAGTTATCTTCAAGGGAGCTCCCATAAGACTCGCAGCTGATTTCTCAACAGAAACCTTGCAGGACAGAAGGGATTGGCAAGAAATACTCAAAGTGATGAAAAGCTAGGACCTACAACCAAGATTACTTTATCTAGCAAAGCTATCATTTAGAATCAAAGGACAGATAAAGAGCTTCCCAGACAAGAAGAAGTTAAGGTTCAGCACCGTCAAACCAGGATTACAAGAAATGTTAAAGGGTCTCTCAGGGCACATACCTGGGTTGCAGGCTTGATCCCCAGTAGGGGGCATGCAGGAGGCAGCTAATCAGTGATTCTCTCTCATCATTGATGTTTCTATATCCTTCTCCCTCTCCCTTCCTCTCTGAAGTCAATTTTAAAAAAAGAAGAAAAGGATAAAAAAAATACAGATAATAAGCAGCCTTAAAAATTATGAAATCTTACCATTTGTGACTGTGAATGGACCCAGAGGGTATATGCTAAGTGAAATAAATCAGTCGAAGAAAGACAAATACCATATGAGTTCATTCATATGTGGAATCTAAAGAACAATATAAACAAACAAAACAGAAACAGACTCATAGATATAGAGAACAGACTGATGGTTGGTAGAAGGGAGTTGGGGGTGTGGGTGAAAATGGTAAAGGGATTGAGAAGTACAGATTAGTAATTTCAATATAGTCATCTGGGTGTAAAGTACAGCATAGGAAATATAGCCAATAATCTTCCTATCTAATAAAAGACAAAAAGGATAATTAACCGTACCTCTGCTATGCTTCCCATTGGCTAATCAGGGCGATATGCAAATTAACTGCCAACCAAGATGGCGACCGGCAGCCACACAGCTGAAGCGAGCAGGAGGCTTGCTTGCTCCAGTGATGGAGGAAGCCAAGGTTCCCCGCTTGCCGCGGCCCGGCTCTGAGCCCGAAAGCAACAATGTTTCAATTATAGAAGCTAAACAAATCCCAGATACCTGCTTTCAGCCGGCCGTGGCCTCAGAGCTGGGAGTGCCAGTGACAGCAACAGTGTTTCAATTATAGAAGGTAAATAAATCCCAGAAAAAAAAAGAAAAGAAAAAAAGGAGAGGCTGGGAGCTTCAGTCCCGGCCAGCCTGAAAACGGCCCTCAGCCCCTCACCCAGACCGGCCAGGCACCCCAGTAGGGACCCCCACCCTAAAGGGGGTGCGGGCAGCCTGAAAACAGCCATCAATCCCTCATCCAGGCTGGCCAGGCACCCCAG